TTTGAATAACTCCACCATTTTTTATCCAATCTTCATGAAATTTTCACAGAATGAAGAGAAGAGGTAGATCTAATACTAAAAATGTGTCTGTTGAATTTTTTATATATGGAATAGATTTTTTTTGGTAGTGTCTGGAGTGTGGATTTTCACGGATTTTTCGCAAACTTGAATGCTACCTCAGGAAAAAATTCATTAAAAATTTTCTAATTCGATTAGGAAAAAAACAAACAGACAAATTTTTAGATATAATGTTTGTGAACACGCGTGCAAAAAAACAATCAATTTCCATGAGCGATAAGTGCGGTATTCATTACGTAAGACATGTCAATAAAATCCAAAATTGAGACACAACAACACCTGCAAAAACAGCTTACAATCCAAGCTTGAAGTAGATGTTAGAACCTGGGATGAAATAGCTGAGGACAGGAAAATATTGAGGAAAGACTATAATGCTAAAGAGCAGCCTTAGATTAAACAACTGGGCTGAGAAGCGCCAACGATAAAAGGAAAACAGCGGAAATACAGAGCTTCGATCCACGTCACCGACACGCAAGCGCTGCGACAGAACTTGCGGTTCAAACTTCAAACATAGGAAGAATTAGCCATAACAGAAGCTGCATGAAGACTAGATCTAGATCTAGATTCTAGATCTAGATCTACCTAGAAATTATCTTAAGCTAAATTGACTGTCTGTATAGACGAAAAGAACCATACACTGATCAATTCTGTGTGGATGGTCATTCATAGATTAGATTTAGACCTGAGTGAGGAAGGACCACACTTCAATCAAAGTAAACCAAAGCTGTCTCTGCCATTTACCTGCGCCTAAAGCTGCACGGACAGGGCTTTTAAATGCACGCAATGTACTGGGCTTACTGCGTGCTGCTCGATTCAGAGAGACCGGCACTGCTTAGTCAAAATGAACGCGTCTTCGTTCTATTATGAAAGTTAACCATGCAACATCCGAAACATGTGGGGACTGTAATTTACGAACAGAACTGCTTAGATTACCTGATCTGACATAATGAAGTTTGAAGACCTTCTGTACTTTCCTCCAGGTGACCACACAGTAGTGTTCTCTGTGTATGTTCTGAATTCATGAGCAGCAGATTTGATTACATTTATTATGACAGTTTAGTAGCTCTAGATCTAGAGTCAACCCCTGTTGAAAACATGTAGCCAAGATCTAGAATCTAGACTCTAGATCTAGATCTATCTCTATTGAGGGTAGATCTAGTGAAAGTGAAAGAATGTTTGTCTGGGTCTATGGGGGTTATCATTTCTTCTTGACGTCACAGCGTTTCCTTTTACGTAATGTCTTTTTGTTGTGAATAGCACGCGTCATAGCTTCGCGCCATGTCAGTGACGTCAATCATCCTAAAACTTATTTTGCTCCACCCCAGCCGCTAGCGCTAGAGTAGCAAAGATAAGACACCCCTAGGCTGTACTATCTTTGATAGTAGTAGTAGTGAGAACGTAGTAGATCTAGACAGTGATAAAGCTAATCGACATTATAGGAAATTCCCGAATTTGTAATTAGGCAGTAATTTCTTCTTCTTTTTCTTCTTCTTTTTCTCCTCCTCCTCCTCCACCCTCCCCCCCCCCCTTTCCTCCTCCTCCTCCTCCTCCTCCTTCTTCTTCTTCTTCTTCTTCTCCTCCTTCTTCTTCTTCTTCTTCTTCTTCTTCTTCTTCTTCTTCTTCTTCTTCTTCTTCTTCTTCTTCTTCTTCTTCTTCTTCTTCTTCTTCTTCTCATCATCATCACCAAGATGCATCACCATTAATGTTATTATTATTATTTTTATTACTATTACTATTATTATTATCATTATTATTATTATTATTATTATTATTATTATTATATTAATATTGTTATTATTATCAAATGCCCTTGCATTCCAATAAACAAGGCTTCGCTCTCCCTCTACAGTAGGCTAGCCTACATAAAAAGAAGTGTAATCTTCCACGAAACCAGTTGAACATGAAAATATACGGAGCTAAACAACGATCTTTCGTATTGAAAACTTGAACTGCGATTTGTTGACACCAGGTTTCCGGTAAACATGAGTTGCGTCCCCTGTTCCCTGGCGACGGCAATACTACCAACGACGGCGAAGGTTGCTAAAGCTGAGGGATATCTGTAAACTTTAGGTTTGTAATCCAAAATAAGATCTTTACTGTGAAGCAAATGTACGAATTACAGTTGTAGAATTTGCATTATATCCTATGGAATTAAGAGTTCGGAATTCCTTGGCTTGAGCGGAATAAATTTCATCTGATATCGAAGGGCCATATAATTATAATTTTTATTTGGTTTTGTGAAGTGAAGGTCTGAGTATGCGTGACTACTAACTGCTAACTTCTGTCGTAGGGTTGAACTTAGGGACGCCTCTTTTGTTTATAAGATCATTGAATCTAACACAGGAGAATCATATAAGCAGATAATTCATATTATAGTTCCAAATGAAATAACTTAAAATTTATATGCAGTTGGAACAAAGTTCTCTAACTAAAGTAAAGCAAAGCTTCAATTCAATGTCTGTAAGCCCGGAGCATGATGGTTAAATCAATTAGTTATCTATACTCCTTAGTTGTTGTTTTTTTTAATTTCCTGATGTTTATAGTCTTCTTTATATATTGTAAAAATCAATTTCAAATTATGCACCCTATGTAGCTGCCATGTGCAGGCTTACATACATAGAGTATACTATAAATAGTAATATCAGTGTATAGGATAGGCCTATTATTATGTTGATTTTTTTAACAAAATGAATACATGACACATCTGTCTTTGAAACTGAGCTAAGCTTTTTTACAAGCAGACACTGTATGGAATATTGTTTAACACTTTTGCCGTCACATCTCGCCGATCTGCGATGTTTACCACAGTTTCTTTTGGATTTTCCCCCAAATGCCTTTGCCTTTTGTAATGAGAGGATAACTGCTATCTAATCCTAGATTCTACTCGTTAGTCTATTTACGTTGGTTTCAATACTCGCTGTTTCGAGCGGGGAACGATGAGTGTGGGTCGTACAGGTCCAGAGCTCCATCCACTGTGTTGACCCACCAGTAGCGTCGATCCCTGCTCAGACTAGGTTTTAGTAGTGGCTTGGAAGGCCAGTTTAACCTTTGCCGTCTGTTTATATACCCCCCGTGCTCCCTTATTCTCCTACATTCACTAGGATACACTGACTTTCTTTACTTATTTCACGTGATTCTGGCTTGTCTGGTAATCACAGCGAATTATAAACCACACCTTTGATAGCAAAGGTTTTTACTATATGAGCCTTGTAGCAAAGTGTTAAGAAGGGAATTAAAATAGGCAGCTAAAAATTTTTTTAAGCCAGCAGTATGCTTGATTAAGAGGTTTTCTATTCCTTTCATTTTAGTGTCTGATTATATTATGGCTAGGGGGTTGTATGAATTTAAATAATAATGCTTAACATCCTGAAAAATCTTAAATGGCTCTCTATGGTTTTATTATTATACACACTGCTTAAGGAGGATCATTTTAAAGTTTTCCTTATTCATGGGTCAGAAGTTTGAATAGATTGCAAATAGAATAACTTTCAGTTTAAAATACTATTCTGTAAAGTTAAGTTAAAACTTTTCAAATTGAAGATTCCATGCATTGTTGATAAAACTTCTTCATATTGTAATACCGGTACATCTAAGGAAACTTGCTCGCTTTTGCTCTGGAAAACTCAAAGTCGTAGGCTTCACATCTGTGCGCATTAGCCTATGAAGAAAAGCAAATGTGAGGCAGCGTGGAGGAATCAGGCTCTCGTCAAAATAATCAAAATGAAGAAACTTGCATTTTTCCGCAGGTTTGTGAATTTTTATGGAATTTTTGTTTTTTGGCTCAACACCATTCGTGCCCATCAAAGAACTCATTTAAGTGTGAATTTTTCTGAAAAACGTTGAAAATTATCTCCATTTAGGAACAGTATCCAATAACCAACGAAGATGCCGCACCCACGCTCCGCTCGCTCTGACATGAGCGATGCTGATATGGAAGGACTTCAGGAGCAAGAGCTCATTAAACTGCAGCGCAGTTACCGCAACATGGAGGGTGACAGAGCTGCCTACACTGAGGAGTCTCAGAATCTTATTCGTAAACAGAAGTAAGCCTTTATACCTGGGATTAAGTTTACAGTAAACAAGTCATACTCTGTTTCTTTAATTTTTGTTGTTGTTTTGAAATTTGTTCTTCTTTTTAAAAATTCTCCTGTTTTCTTTTGCAACAAAATTCAGAACTGCATAATAAAGAAATGGCAAATAATGATAACAATAATATTATATTCATGATAGCATGATGATGATAGAGTCCACGAATCTGGAACACGAAAATCACAAATTCTCGGGTATCTCAAACATAATGCTCGGTCCCATTTCCGTCCCTATGTTTTCTTTGTATTGACTTCAGGGAGTTCCCAAACACTCAGAAAACGCAACTCTGGAACTTCGAACAAATCCACTTCACATTCTCAACTAAAGACTGCTGTTTATAGCCTTTCTGGCCACGTGTCGGTGCTTCTTTGTTATTATTACAGCCAAAACATGGTCCTCGTCTCACCACAAGAGGCTGGAGGAAGGGGGGACAGGGAAGGGGGGTTGGGGAGTAATGCTGACCGCACCGCTGGTCTGTCGTCTCTATGACTATGACCAACAGTTTCCTCTTAGGCTATCTGTTCCCGACGTTTATTGTGCAAACTCATTACATTGAGTCCCCCCCCCATTAAACGCCTTCGTACTCTTAACCCCTGTCGGGGAATCCTAAACAAAACAGTCACGTGTCGTCACATTATCTGCCAAAATGACGTCACTAGAGTAATAAGGAATTGATATGACCACGTCCCTTCCTCCCCTTGCAAAGGTTCATGTAAACGCACGCTCCGTATAAACACATGCTAAGGAGCCCTCCCGAGCACCGTGCGTTTAGGCGAAGACTACTGTAGAAGTCCAGCTGCAATGGTAAAAATAATACTAATAATGATTAAAATACCAATAGCAAGAATAAAACTTAAACACATTCTATAGAGCCCAGTCACTATCACAATTTCAGAAGAGCTTTTGTTATCCAGAAATAAAACCAGGAAACTTTTTATTCAGACATACAGACATACATGAACCCACTCCTACAAACACCCTTGAACTTTGCACTAATATTACATGCACACACCTATGCAAAATACCCACCCACACACTGACTCACATATATAGACACACTTAAATGCCATCACTACAAGACCAAAATTTTTTGTTTCAATTGTTCATGCTTTACCCTATGAGCAATGAAATTTGAAGTTACTATTTTTATTTTAGCAAGTTCCATACTCACACTTCTGTTAGTAATACTTCATACCCTAAGAGGCTTTGTTTTGCGTACAGTTTGATAAGTTTGTATTGATGTCTTTATTTTTTTCTGAGATATTGAATATTATATAACTATAATAATGCAGATCTACTTTTGACTTTGAAATTGAAGTATATTCTGTCGTTAACTACATGTGATTACTGTCAACTGCTCACTCTCTTTCAGATCTGAGGTCAGGCAACTGGAGGGTGAGAAGCAAGAGCTGCTGAAAGAATTGCGATTGGCTGAGTCTCGCTCCAACCAGAACAAAGATGAGGACAACACAGATACCCTTGTCACTCTTCTTGAAGCCAAAGGTAAGCTCATCTTTTAGGTAAATAAAGGACTAATTTTTCATTTTAAAAAATGTATTGAGAGGGGAGAAAGAGAGGGACAGACTGAACGACAGAAGAACATTGAAAAAGAGGAAAAAGAGAGGGAAAAGAAGAGAGGGGAAGTGACAGACAGACTGATCGACTGACGGACAAACAGACAGACAAATCGACAGAGTGAGTGAGAGAGTTGAGCAGTATTACCCTGAGCGGTAACAGTACCCGACTACTCTGTCTGAAGCAAAAAAAAGAGAAAGAAAGAAAGAAAGAAAGAAAGAAAGAAAGAAAGAAAGAAAGAAAGAAAGAAAAAATCAAACAACAACTACAAAAACAAGTTTTTGGTGTATATGAAATAAAAACAGACATCTGAAGCATATTATTTTACCTATTACACAGCTTTTTAAAAGGAAAACAAGGCAGAATTTGATGCAATCCTAATTTGAGAGAATACCCTTTTAGTAATAAAGAAAATAGTGGGAATTTGTAGCGTAGAGAGCCTAATCCTTAGAAGGGTATATGTAATGTACAGTGCACCATTTCATATGTCTTTTGAAATTGCAGACAAGACTGAGGATGAAATGAAAGAAGAGGAAGACATGCAGAGAGAGCTAGATGCAAAGATCAGGGAGTGGGAGAAAAAGATAAAGAATCAGCACAAGAACATGGGTGGTGTGCACATGAGCTCACAGCACACGACACAGATGCAGAAAACACAGAGAGTCCTGGACAATCGTCTTGATCAGGTATGTGGTTTCCTCTGTTAGTGCAGTCAAACCAGCTCCAACTGCCACTAATCTAGGACAATTACCTTTACAAAGAACCACTTCCCACTTTGCCCTTTGCATTTTTTCTATTTCTTGATTAATGACACTGACCTGGATGTCCTCTGGTCTAAGACAAACATTTTTCTCCTCGGCAATGGTTGGCGGTCTTGAACAATTGCAACTGCTCCTCTGTTTTGTTACCTTATAATTTGCTGTTATTTAAACCTATCATTTTTCAATCAAATAGTCAATGGGATCTGTATAGTGGGATCATTATCTATCACTTGTTTTTGTAATCTTCATAGTCTTACAATCTTTTTGTAACAAAAAATTCACTTGAGGTTCAGTTGTGCTCACTGGATAACAATATTATTATTATTGTTATTATTTATTATCATCATCATCATCATCATCATCATCATCATCATCATCATCATCTTCATCTTTATCATCTTCATCACCATAATCATGATTTTTATTATTATTGTTGTTGTTATTATTATTATTATTATTGTTATTATTATTATTATTATTATTATTATTATTATTATTATTATTATTGATATTTTTATCATCATCATCATCATTATTATTATTATTATTATTATTATTATTAATATGATTATTATTATCAAACAGCCAGATTCATAAATAATCTAAATTATTTAGATGGCAGTGTAATATTTTTTGCATTCAATCATTAAATCTTTTGATTGTATTTCAGTCCAAGAAGCGATTCAATGACTGTCTGAGCCAGAATGCCAAGCTGAGAGACGAGATTGAGAGCCACCGCACGGAACACCGTAGGTTTGAGAATTTGTACAAGAAACTGGAAAAGGAGCTGAAGAACTTGAGAAAAGAGATGGCAGAAATTATCGAGTCTTCCACTTCAGCTTATGATGCAAGGTATGCTCAAGACTATTATTGATGAATAATCCCCTTGTCTCAGAGTTTTAGTGTCCTTGTCCTCAATCTATCATACTGAGCCCTTTTATTGATCTTGGGTGTACCTATAAAGAGATGAATATCTAGATGCACTTAACAAAACAACCAGATGTGCTACAAATCCTGAAGATTTGTTTGGACCAAATTCTTGACCCCACAGTGGTAGGTCCTTCCAAACATAATTGCACACAATCACACACACTCACACACACACTCACACTCACACACACACACACACACACACACACACACACACACACACACACCCCCACACACACACACACACAACTCAGAATTACAAAGTTCTATCTGCTCAGTACCTTATTTTGAGAAATGTGACGTCAAAGATTTCAAATTTCTTCTACATGTCAAGCTTTTTCTAATGCAATTCTTTGAATATCTTGCTAACGACTCCGAATAATCTTACGATTTTGAACGAGCAAATAGAACATTTGGTTTCTGACCTCATGGTCTTCGTAACTCAAAACAGCCAAAAATGTCAGATAGAACTTTGTAATTCTGAGGTGGTGAAAGGTTAACGAGAAAAAAAACAGTTATAAAAACAAGACAATAATTTCTATGTTTTGCTTTGTGCTCTCACAGAGATGATGCTCAGGCCAAGATGATCATCCTGAAGGAGAAGGCTGACAAGGACGTGCAGCAACACAACACCGAGATGAAGGAGCTGGTCCGTATCATCGACCACGACAGGAAGCTCAAGGAGTTCATGGGGATCAAAGGTCAAGAGAGGCAGGAGGACCCTCAGCTTGTCGCTTGGAGGCAGCGCAAAGGTTTGGGATGTTTTATTTGTTTTGTAGCTGTTTTGTTCATTGGGTATTTGGGGGGTGGGGGGGGGGGAGGCGCTGTGGGGGTTTTTTTTTTTGGGGGGGGGGGTATGGATGGTTTGGGAGGGGCATTTAATATTTTTTCTTGTGTTTATTTAATTTTGGGTTTTTGGATGAGGGTGATGGTTGTTTTCTGTTTTGTACTAGTTTTTCGTTTGTTTTTATGTGTTTTTGGTTGTTTTTGTTTTTTGTAAGAGGTAGTAGCACCGAAAAAATAGTTGTAATTTGAATTTGTAGTTTTTTCTTCCTGAAAATATCAGGTGAACAGTGATCAAAACGTCTGAATCTCTTTGATAATGATGAATGTATATACTCACCTATAATGCAAGCTTTTTAAAAAAATAAACCCAATATAAATGTGCGATATACAGCCAAGACAGGCCTCACAAAAGGAAAGTAATGATGACTAGGATTTTCCCTGATTAAATCAATCCCAATGCAATTACTAACTGTTTTTACAGGTATGACACTATATTTAATGCTTGACTTCACGCTTATTGAGAAGAATATCAGAAATTCATCTTGTATTAATCAGGCTAACAACAAAAGTGGGCCGATTTTGTAGTCAAAGTATACCTCCCCGCTGGTCGTGCTATAGACAAGTTATGGCACTCAATATATTTGTGTGGTTCTTATTGATGATTCCATTTTGCTGCCTCTACAGAAGCCCTGGAGGCTGAGAAGAAGAAGGAGAGCCAAGAAGACTCTGTGGAGACGTACGAGGAAGCCTTCCAGCGAATCCGTGCCATGACAGGGGAGGATGACATTGATGTTCTCGTCAACCGGTTCATCGAGGTGGAGGACACGAACTTTGCCCTCTTCAACTATGTTAATGAGCAGAACAACGAGATTGAAAAGCTGAATGAGGAAATATTTGCTGTAAGTATGATTTACTACGTATTCCAATTATGTTTTGTTCTTACAGCCCTTATTGTTGTTCAGGCTGCAAATTGAAGAAAGCATGTCTCTTCATTCGTTGTAATGTTACTATTGAAGCTTTTATCTCTAACCTTCTGAAAGTTTGTGCAGCTTCATCAGCAATTCATGATGAGTTCTCAGTTTGAACATTGACGTCTTTTTAATGTGATTCGATGTGACTTAGATTGAATAGATAGCGCCAACACTGCCTCGCAGTAGCTTGTTATGTAGTTCTCAACATTGTCCTTGGTCATTTATTGTCCCCAGATTCAGCTAGACATTGAGAACTTCAAGGATCAAGGCATTGAGCTGGAGAGTCAGAGGAAGGTCATCCTGAAAAATCTGGAAGAAAGACAGAGCAAAGCAACTCAGGATGCAGATGAATATGAACAAAAATATAAGGAGGTTTCCAAAATTCTGGATCAACTCAAAGCAGGTACTTCTGAAAAGCAAAGCAGAAAATGTTTTTAAGTTTCCTTCCTTATTTAGAAATCCTTTTTGACAGATGTCTTTATATTTTGGTTCTTTGTTGGTTACACTTAATTTCAGTGTAAGTAAAGTCATATTTATAGGGCATACTTCATGTAGAAAGTAAAATTGTTTGAGAATAACTGACGTTTTGTTTCATATTTTCGTTTCAGCAGTTCTCCAAACTGGATATCTGTATACATTGATATTTCATAAGTTGGAGTCCATTAATAATTATTAAAACAAAAGACTGTCTGGTTTACTTTTATAAAATTAAGATCGGGAGGAATTTTGTACTTTAATTTAGTATAAAATGAATTATTATATTATACAGTAGTGTTTTCTTAGGTTTTGATACATTTAGTTCTGTCCCGACAGAAAAAAGCATTTGTACCGTGCAAGTCTCCGTGATGATGGAACATGTAATCATCCAAATTCACACCACAAAATATAAACAACTACGAGTATAAAGAAAAGATTGAAGACCTTATTTCTAATCTCAGTAGCATTTATAAGCCTGGACTCATGTGGCACCTCTTCTAATGTTTGTGTTTTTTATGATGATTTGAAAGGAAAGAAAAGAAATTACTGTTGTACAGAGCCAGGGTGGTCAGAAATCTTTTTCAAATTTATATATATTGTCTCTTTTCCCTACTCAGGTATTGACTCCTTGTTCAACAAGATCAACTGCGATAGGTCAGCCATTGATGACATGCTGGGGGCATCTACTGGTGTCAGTGACAGCAACATGCTACAGTATCTGGGTATCATTGAACAGAGGACAAATGAACTCCTTGCTATCCAGACATACGTTAGTTCCAAGGTGAGTTTTTCTTCCAAGGGCTAGTATAGTTTCTGTATGGAATTGGTAAATGTCTCTTTCAAGGCACCTCAGTATTCTTAAAAATAAGACTACCGGAACCACTTTAGACAAGCTTTTTAGCGTAGGAGGTTAAGAAACCAGAACCAAATTCCTAAAACAGCTCAAGGTGTAGAATACTCCTTTAGGGATTTTGACAGCAAATCCAGCATATTACAAACTAAACTAATGATGTGCTCAGCTCTTCAATGATTGACAACCCTTTGAAAAAACATATTAAATTTCCTTGTCTCTTTGTAATAAACCCTCTATCTTATAGTTATAGTAGCTATGGTATCTGAGTCTATTCTTGTTTTTTTTTATTGACCTAAAAGTGAATGCGAAAGAAATACAGTAAATTGTGAGTTGCTCAGCATAACACAGCCATCAATGGTCTCATCCCCCCCCCCCTCTATCTCTCTGTTACTTCAGTATATTATATTGATCTTTTCCATTTCCTGTATGAGTATCACAGTGACAAAAGAGCTTCACCTCGGATTGTAATTGTAATTTTTCAGTAAAACCCAAGCAGAAATGGGTTCTTAAATGGACATAAAAAGGCGTTCAGTTATTCAGTCATAAAACAAATCTTCAATAGAAATTCTCATACTGGCAGAAAAATGCCAATTTGTTCAATTTCATGATATTGATGAGCACCGGATTTCACCATGCTGCCTCACAAATATGTGTTATCCTTGTGTGCAGAGTATTTTAAAAAAACAAAAAATCAACGGTGTGTGTGACAATTGAAACTTTTAATACTGTACAAGATTTATGTAGTAGATAAGCACAACCTCTTCAAGACAAAGTGTATTTTTAAGGAATGTTCTCAGAGTATTGCACTTGAACTTCTTTTGTAATATCGTAATTTCAAAGATGAGATATTGTGATGTCGAGATCGTGTTGAAAGATCCTGTTTTTGGGGCTCAGTACTGTTAAATATGTCACGATGCGGTGGAATCTGGCGCTTGTCAAATTTTGCGCCTGTGGAGTTATTTGTATCGTCTGAAAGCTGATTTATTTGCCTCATTTTCTATTAAATAAATATCCATTTATCTTGTATAGAACTCTAGATATTTGCAATTGAAGGAAGTGAGGTCGCAGGTTTCAGCGTTAAAATTAGCAAGAAAATGGCCGCTAAAGTTTGGTAACTCCAATAGTTAATGAGTCTTTGAAAACTGAAAAATGACATATTTTGAGCCTTTAATCAATGTTTTTCAGGAAAAATTCACATGGAAATGTGTTTTTATATCGACATAAAAGAGGTTCAGCCAAAAAATAAAATTTCGATAAAAATTTCCAAACTGGCATGGCGGAAATTAAATGCCGTTTCTACGATTTCGTTATTTTGACGAGCGCCTGATTTCAGTATATGCTGCCTCACAAATATTACTGAACCTGTTTGGTCACTCAAAGTAAATCATGTCTCTTTATGACAGGATCAAGAGAAATATGACCCCAAGGCACCTGGGCTTCTTGGTGAAGGACCTGGCGCTCCTCAGCAACAGTTTCCCATTTTGGCTCCAGCTGTTGGGTATGTTACATGAGTTTGACTTATTTGTGTTTTTTCTTTTCCTCCCTTTTCTTCTATCTGTCTGTCTGTTGAACTGCCCATTCATTTATCTCTCTTTCTTTGTATTATCATCTCCTGCTGTCTCTCACGGTTTGTCTGTTTGTCTGTCTGCATATCTCTCTCTAATCTGGGTAACGACCGAAAAAATTTTCCTCTCTAAATTTGTCTCCTTTCACCTCATTTCCTGCTCTCTAGCAATGTTCTGTCGTCTGCTTTCGTCTCCTCTTTCTGCCCCCACCCCCTCACCTCCTTTGCCCCTTCGTCTGGGCTCCTGATTCTTTCTGCAGCCTTTCTACTACTACTCCTTCACTTCTTCTTACTGCTGTCTTTCGGCCACACCCCTGATCTTCTGGTAGGAAAGATCTATACCTAGCCTTCTCTGACAAGGGCGAAAAATTTTGGAGGGCCCGTGTGCAAGTTGCGCACGTTAAAGATCCCTTGGTGGTCTAAAATCGATAAGAGTGGGCTTCGGCCGCCACCCGGGCAAAATTCAAAATTTCCTACCAACTGAAAATATTAGGTGTGTCCCGCGCGCTCATATGACCTTATGCAGTTGCGAGCGCCGTAAAACACTTTACAAAAACAAAAAAATCTCTCTCTCTCTCTCTCTCTCTCTCTCTTATTCTCTCGCTCTCTCTTTCTCTCTCTCTCTCTCTCTCTCTCTCTTATTCTCTCGCTCTCTCTTTCTCTCTCTCTCTCTCTCTCTCTCTCTCTCTCTCTCTCTCTCTCTCTCTCTCTCTCTCATTTATATAAAATGACATTTTTTTTTGTCTTTCATTATAAGAATATTTCATTTTAAAATTGTGCATTTTTTAGTACCATTTTTTTCTCAAGATCAAAGTCTATTACAATCAAACTCAACCTGAGACTGAGAGATTGAGCAATTGTTTTTGAGGAATATGATAATAATTTGTAGCTTTGGAACCAGCTTCAGACCTTTCATGTTCCTTATAGTTTTTGAATACATACGCTGAAGCATGCAGATCTTGTACTTGAACTGTGTTCTTTTTGTGGATGCGAAACATAACTTTATGAGGATATATTGACATCACTTACTTTTTTTTTTTTCTTCAGGGATGAATATGAAAGTGAAGGCAGTGAGGGAGAGGAGGAAGAAGCACGACCTTTCACCCGCAATGAACTCCAAGCCAAGGTACTCAAGACCGTGGAGAAGCGGGAGACTGCAGCAAAGAAGGAAGGCTTCAAGTATGACTTGTCAGGAGCAAGAGAAAAGGCTCAGAAAAACCAGAAAAAAGATGGGAAGAAATAGATGAAAAACCATGTGAAACAAGGAACAAAAACATCGTCATTGCCTTGAAAAGTGAAAAGAGATTGTTCTGATTTTTTGTGTTCCATATTTAAAATTAGCAACACATCAAAGTAATGTTTTTGGTATAACACATGTTTTTACATCAGTGCAGCAGTACAAGTTTACTTTTGTGAATTACTTACTATGGAATGTTAAAGTTTAACTGAGAATACTTTACCTTCATATCTTACCATGCGTTTGTCCATTTTGAGAGATATACAAACATCTCAACTGGCAAACCTTTCATGTGTTTATTATACTATTGAGATGTTATTGTTATTAACCTTTTCTTATTTGTCCCATAAGGCAGTGTTTTTTATTTAAAGCCTTAAAAGGATAGCTGGAAAATGTGGAAGGGGTAAGACTTGTACATAAAATAAATTGTGAGAGAGCTGTAGCACTTTTAAGTTACATAGAGCAAAGATACTTAAAGCGCCTGTGTACGTATTCTTTCTCTCCTTTAAAAAAAAATAAAAGCAAGCTATATGAAAATGATTTTGTAATGGTGTGTTTACCTTGTGATTTTAGGCGAGAAAAATAAATCACAGTTAATTTGAATTATTTGACTCGACTTTCTTTATTGTTATTTCCTTCACTTTGTTTTTTTTTAAATTTTCAGTGTAGTTTCAACTTTTAGGACCTACAGTCGAACCTGTGTAAAATGTCTACCCATTGTCTAGGAAGAAAGTGGCTGTTTAACCCAGGTGGCTGTCTTAAGAAGGATTATACTGATCAAAATGAAGAAAGCTAGCCATTCCCTTCTGAGGTCGAAACTGGGGCTGATCTCAGGTGTAGGACTGCTGTAAGGCTAATTCAAAAGGGTTTTATTTTTCCTTTGTAGAAAAAAAAGGGGTGGAGGTGGGGGGAGATAAGAAGAGGTTGTTTGGGGTTATTTTTTATGTTGTTTCGTTGGTTTGTTTTTTCTAAGCTTTTTTTTATTTGGTTGCTGATTTTGTGCAAGAGTAAAATAAACAACAGACAATGAAGACCCGATGCCGTGGTAAAACAAACACAAGTTCATAGTAACATCCATTGTTACTGTGTTACAAATTAGGTAAACGAAACAGTTGTGGGCGGGGCTAGGTTATGATGGACCATATTATGCGATCCCTCACCAGCAGCAGAAAATTTATTGTTTCCCATTGGTCAACTTTGGTTAAACAATAATTGGAGGGACTAACAATAATGACAGGTGAATGGATTGTGAGTATGACGGCCCGTCTACAGCCTCCGGGACTGATTCAAAATTATGACAAAGCATTGGGCAATGAGAGACCACACCTGGCCATCTTAGACAAGTAAAATATTTGGTCATGGGTTGGTAAAGGTGTAAAGGTTGATAAAAGTCACGTTGGACGGGTGACCGTTTTACACAGCTAAAAAAAATTATGTTAAAAAAGAAGAAAAAAATGCAAAGAGGGGTTGGGGGGGGGGGGGGGGTGGAAATTGGCCGTATTTGTACAAGTGGCTGTAATAAGCTACATAGGTGTCCGTCATGCCAGGTTCGACTATATTAGTTGACATTATAAAATCACTTTGTATTGCCTGAGTTTTACATCGATGTCAACATAATGTATGGCAGTATAAGACAAGACATGGAGGCTTCCTTAAGGGGGGGGGGGGGGGGTGCGGCAGCTAGAAATGCCAGTTTGAGGCCAAATTACACGAAAAGAGATAATACACTTTAAAATTCCTGGAAATGTCTTGCACAATATCTAGAAAGGTACACAAGCCTCCCTGAACCTTAAAGTGGTGTTTGGGGAGGATTTTAGAGCGCAGGGTCGAATCTGTTTGAGAAAATATTTGCCAAGTTTGCAATATTTTTTCCACGGTTGGTGTAATTGAACACTTTTTGCAGTCACTTCGCGCAATAATGCGCCGGTAAAAATTATCCGTTCCGGTCACTGAGAAGTCTGTAATTGCAAAATATTTGAATAAAACTAATCTAGCTTTTTGTAAGAGGAATTATTAATAAAAGCTTAGGTTCTTAATCTGAGAGCTTGAACGCTATGTTTTTCCAGTTTTTCCAATGTTTTGCTAAAGCCAAATTTGAAAGTGCCATATAGAATAAATACATGTACGTACTAAAGCTGATATAAAAAATTAGTGCGAACTTTGCCTTATAAATGTGCATGCTAAGTTAGTATGAACCTTATCTGTTTGTAAATAAAGTGAGAAAATGATACCACATTAGGTCTCTAAAATCCAATTTGGCCGCCGTTTCCATGGCAACCGAATCAGTAATTTTTTGGGGGGACAATTGGTAACAAATTTACATTACCATATAATCGCCCACGCCAAATATAAGCTCCTTAAAAAGGAGTGGTATTAGCTGATAAATACTTATTCTGTAGCACCCCCCCCCTCCCCGCCTCTTAAAAATTACCAGAAAGAATCACTAAACATGTTTTGATATAAAAATAACATACGCAGAAAAACGTCAGTGGTGATGTTTTTGGCTTAGAATGTGTTCTCGGCAGCAATGTTCACTTTCTGCAGCCCTATCTATTTAAATGCACTCTTTATAAGATTTTTGTAGAAAAATACACGTTTCACGATAATTTTCATGGATTTTATAGTGATCAATAATTTGTTTACAACCTACCTGTACATTAAGAATAAGGAAAAATGATAATCAGCTTCGTTTTACCATACTCAGGAATGCAATGTAGATCGATTCAGCTGCAATGAGAGAGCGGGGTTTTTTTTTTGTTGGTAGGCCTACGGTAATTTTGCCACCAGTGGACGCTTGTACGACCCCTCCAC